AAGAGATCAAAACATCTGTGGATTTGTAAGAATAATCTGAATTCCTTTTCATGATAGGCATCTGATAAAGATAAAATAAAACTTTTGACCTTTGAACATGAAACTACATACTTTTGGTGAATTATTAGTATTCTCTTCTCTCACAATCACTAAATACTTTGCATAGAATTAATTAGATTCATCTTGTCTTTTTCTAGTTTATTTTGTCTTTAAAGAGCATTTGTTCTTGCCTTTGATAATATTGTGTATTACCTTTTACTATTCTTTGCAAGAAGAATATGAGGTACGATTCAGTATGTGGAATTCTAAATTAGTGACAATATACGTTGTAGCTTTTTCATGTCTCTTTACTTCATGAAAGAATATGGATTATGGCTTATTGGTTCTTTACTTTCAGATTAACGGGTTAGCTCGCAGATACCCGGGTTTGATGTCATTGCGGAGTGTGGATCTTTCACCAGCTAGTTGGATGGCAGTAGCTTGGTACTTCTCTTTCTCTCTTGGTGTGTGTATACAGGACAAGTAATTAATAATCTAGCAAAATAAAGATAAGAAAAAAGGGCATTGTTGCCACATTTAACTTGTTGTAAAAGAATTTTGTTTTTCTGATGCAACTTTACTGCAGATAGTTAAATGCATTGGAAACATAAACACTTATAACTTGACCTATGGTTTATTGTAGAGTTGTTGACATTTTAATGTCAAAAGAAATGACATGTTTTTCATATGAACATGTCTATATCAATACAAAAAATCATGTTATTGATTTATTGTTTTCTGGAAATATTATGCAGGTACCCAATTTATCATATTCCCATGGGAAGGACCATAAAGGACTTGTCCACATGCTTCCTCACATATCACACTCTTTCATCTTCTTTCCAAGGTATTCTTCTGTCCATTTTATTTCAATTATTTTTGCTAATATGCTCTTTCATTGTTGACTTGTTATCTAGATATATATAATTTTGGAAAGTAATATATTTGTACAATATCAGCTTAGAAATTTGTGTGTGTTGGTATTTTATGTCTATTATGTAGATATGGACCCTGATGATGACATTGAGGGTGCCGAAAGGAAGCGTAAGGAAGGAGAAGGGATCTCTCTTCCTCCATTTGGTTTGGCCACTTACAAGATGCAAGGGAATGTGTGGGTCTCTGGCAATTGCGGTCGGGACCATGAAAGACTAATTTCACTTTTCAGTGTGGCAGATTCGTGGCTAAAGCAGCTGAGGGTCCAGCACCACGACTTCAATTACTTCATGGGGATTAGGCGTGGCTAAGAACCACTATTTCAAGAATTTCCATGAAAGTGACTCTCAGTAAAATCCTCTTTTTGGGACTAGGCTTTGTGCTTTGAGTGTGAGGATTGTAGTTGATTCTTCTCATTGCCATGCTTCATTTTGATGGGCATGGCTTCTTTTGAGGCTTATGCTTGTACGAGAACTCATTAGATGGGGTGTGTACATGAGCTAACCCATCTGTTTTTGCTGCTTTTTAACGCGGTTATTGGGGCTTTTATGTGAATAGATTGCTAGGTCTGAGAGACATAGGAGAAGTTCTTGAACTATAAACTTTTGTGGATTGTGTAATACATTCTCTTGATCTTTAATGAAAATCCACCGGAGACAGCAAATGCCTGCAGGTTTTGCTAAATTCATCAAGTTTTCCATTATATAAAGTCGGTGGATTAGTTCCCTTCATGATAATTAAAGGAAATGTGAAGGGGGTTATCATTTTTTATGCTTTCCATAATTCTATTAAAAAGATACTCAAATTTCCAGATGTCTAAAGCAGGAGAAACGTGGGTCCAAAGTGTTGAAGAAATTACCACTGGTTCTCTTGCACCAATAACAGCCTTACAGCACTCTGTTCTGTGATTAAAATAATTATGTTTCTTGACTTAATGTTGAAAGCAATTTTCCAAGGCCATTTAATTGCAGTTTGACAATAGCAGGAAGCCAATTGCATGTCTGTGTAAGCGCCCATAGCTTCAGTACACACACAGATTTTGTCACTTTAATTGGGTAGCAAGTTAAAGACTTAAAGATGGAATAGCTTCTGGGTTAGGCCAAGAAACATATTTGTTGAGTAGAAGTTATTACATTTATTTGACAAAACAAAATACTCTTTCATGTGGGAACTCTAAGCCTTAAAAAGGTAGGTACAGTAAGCTTGTCAAGACATGTGAACAGTTGGTGAATGGCAGACAAAAAGTGGGTTTCGTTTTCATCAAGGTACGCTGATTACCGTATTGGTTTTGGAAACACAACAAAATTAGAGTAAAATTTCATGTTTACTGCTTTGTCCCAATCCCAAACCAAATATTTTAGAATTACAGAAAGCATTTATGGGTCTGGTCCATTTCCAAAAAGGAAGTGGGGTTACTGGTGTGAACTCATTCTAAATCTTATCTTCTAATGATCCGCACTGGAGCACAACACAATTGGGTATTTGATATTTCTTTAAAATTAGATTTATTTGATGTTCAATGTCCCATCAAACAAAGCAGATATTATCAGGTGATGGCACATGCAGTTGCCAGTGTTTTTCAACTCAATCCCATTTGAACATGTTATCCATTATCAAATTAACATTAAACCCAAACAAGAGAAGAGAAACCTATCTTATCCGGACAAATTACATCATATTGATCTCAAAAGTGCAACCACTAACCAAATGTTATAAATTTATAAATCTAAACCAAAGACTTTTGGAGTGCAGTGCAACTACCAACAAACATATTTAACATCTATTACAACTACACATGGGCTTTGCTTCTTTAAGTCAATGTGAACGTGGACAGATTGGTTGTATGCCACTAAGCACTTCATAACGCACTTTAGCACTATACCAATTTGACAAGTGCCACCTCAAAATTATACTTTCTATTAATTGATTTGGTGCGTTACAGTTTAGGGATTATTATACATTAGTGCCAGATGATAGGATATATATACTCAAAACTTTGTATGTATACCGAAGAACCAATTCATTTTACCTTTAAATAACTGTTGATGTGTCAATTAAAAGACATTTTATGTTATATAATCTTAGGCTCACTTAAAAGCAAAAAAGTTTTTTTTTGACCTTTTTGTTCTTCCAATCCAAAGTCCACTAAATTAATGGGAATAAAAAAAAAATCGATTTTGGGTTGTTGAAGACATGATAAGAGTTAAAGACAAGGTGGACCTAAAGATTGGACTAAGCCGGGGAGGTGATGTTTAAACACAGATCATTGTCCAACTAGTAGTGGTTGCCGGTGGCGGTTGGCATGGATCACTTGACATCTTTAAATTCTACAAAACCCCCCAAAACACAAAACGATAATAGAGATAAAATCTTCGCATAAGACAACCAACTATTTCATGTCATTGCCATCATTCTCATATTTTTAAAATGCTATGTCATCATACTGTGATACCATGAGTGGGTTGTGCCAATCTTTCATGCTTGAAATCATTTTCTGTCCACTTCATTTTTATCAAACTCTAACTCTGTGAAATTAAGCCAGTAAACATTTCTGGGTGCGCTCAACTGTTGCTTGTTGATTTCATTTTCTCTGTTTGGCTTAAAGTCCTTATCTTAGATGAAAGGTATAAAACAAACTAAGTAAGTTTTGAATTTAAGGATGTTTTAGCATCCTGTATAAGCATGGAGCTGAAACGTAAGTTTTATCTTCATCAACGCCATTGCGCCAACACTCTGATTCTAACATTTCTGACCTTTTGTTGTAGCTACTGTGGGCTTTGGCCCTTTGGACAAGTGTGCATCCATGCCATTGAATGAGTTGGACCTAACCCAAACAAGCCCAATCTGGTACGCAGAGAAGTGGGGGCCTTGACAGCTAAACAACTCTATTAAACACAAATAAGTTGTACTTTACACGCATTATCTTGGTAGTTAGTACTGGGTTCTTGTGATTTGGATTTTGGAATGATTTCTTTTGTAAAAGCACTAGTAAAATGAGCCATATCATCATCAAAGTAGAGCTCGTTTGTGATTTGGATTTTGGAATGATTTCTTTTGTAAAAGTACTAGTAAAATAAGCCATATCATCATCAAAGTAGAGCTCGTTTGGCCGTTTGCGGATGACCAAATTTAATTATATATAAATTATGTATGCATCCAATCATTTTGGTTTCGTATCATCTATATACTGAATTAGAGATCTTAATATTGCATGAAAGACGTATAGAAAGCTGAGACAAGGTATCCAATCATCAAAATGTTGTATAGAGTTTTGAAGTTTATTTTTATTTTTATTAAAGGTCATTTGGCATTGTAGACATGAACAGTCTGGTTCCTGAACCGGATCATAATCAATGATATAGTTTTTACATGTCCAATAATCATTTTATGATATGGCTCAACTACGTTGTGGGGTTAATGTTATTAGATCTTGAGTTAAATGTCATTGATTGACTATATGATTATTGTTCTTTACATTTTAGTAGTACTAGTAGGATAATTGCAATCGGGGTGGCCCATTTTTATTTATTATTAAAGAAATCAAATTAGGGTATTACCGAATTGGAATGGTGATGTACTCTATTAAGTATTAATACTGTGATAGATACACAGTCTTACCTGCTGTCTTATTCATTATATTTAATTACTGATTTCAATCAGAGAGATCCAAAGATCAAGAATGGATGACGTTATTAACCAACACTTAAAAGACGGAAAGAAAAAATTATGAACCAAGTAACAGATAGAAATATTGATGAAGATTAAATAATGCTATTCATAAAGAGTATTTGTACATTGAAGTAACAGGACGTACATGTTGATATAATATCATCTATCTCATCTCGTCTCATTTATAAATCACCACTCTTGAATGAATGTTAAAGCAACTTTTATTTTCTCCCATTTGAAACTGGACAACCATTTTCTTCTAAAAACACATCCATGTTCCACACCAGAATGTTCAAATAAACAAATATTATTGAGGAATTATCCACAATCAACAATTTCCCTCTTTTTTTTTTTTTTTTTTTTTTAAATAACTTTAGAAAATATTTATTTAATTTAGGTGGGAAAAGCTCAACGATCCAAAGGAACTTCCATGCTCACAGACAAATGGCTCCGACACATTGTTCAACAAATTATTCATTAATGTCACTGTGGATAGGCCTCAATAATGGAGGGTAAAGCTGGGATGTTGATGACATTGTAGCGAGGAAAGCCTCCTTCCTCCAATAATTTTTTCCATTCTTGTTCAGTCCTTTCCTTTCCGCCAGTGGTGTGTGCAAACATCAGTAGATCGAATACCAAGTCCATGTCGCCAAACATGTTGTTACCATCTTCTTGTAGAACGATTTCAACTAAAACAACCTTTCCAGTTTCTTCCGGTATTGCTTTCCGACAGTTTTTCAGAATCTTCACACAAGCTTCATCACTCCAATCATGGAGTATCCACTGCATTCATAAATTTATGTATATGTTGAGATTGTTTTTATACAATCTTTGGAGTAATAATATTATATGTGATGTGATTATAATTGATTGCTTAGCTTAAGTTGATAACAGAACACGGTATAGGAAAAAGTTCAATTTTATTTAAGGGTTTGCTTTTGATTCGAACCTTTAAATTTTGACTATTAAGTTTAGAACCTTTTTGGAAACAATTTAAATCAAAGTAAAGTAGTTGGATTTAGAAAGTACCACGTTGAACAATTTTTAATAACAAGTCATGTTTTCTTTGGGTTTGGGGCAAGATAATTGATAATCAATTATATAAGAAATCTGAACAATTAAACTTTTACCTTCATGAAAATGGCGTCGGCATTAGGGATGGCCTCAAACATGTTACCTCCAACATTTGAGACCCCTTCGTACTCGGGAGCTGTGGCCACAACATGTGGCAAATCAAAGTTTATACCTTGAATGTGTGGATAGGCTTTCAAAATCTCAACTAGCTCGCCGCCGGTGCCACCACCCACGTCCACCAGCGACCGAACATTATTAAACCCATCTTTATATCGTGATAAAAATGCCCTAATCACAATCTTGGCCGTGCATGCCAAGGCATCATTGAACAACTTGTTGAATTCGGGGTTTTGAGATGCAAAATCCCACATCTCACACCCATGTGCCTTTTTGAAAGCAATTCCACCTTCTTTGACACATTGGCTAAGATAATGCCACGGTGCTAATTGCCATAAATTGTTTTCCATTAGTATCATTGGAGCAAGACTGAGCTCCGAGTCGTGTAGAAGCCATGTTGATATGTGAGTCGACCCGTAGAGAGTATCTCCTCCGTCTGATGGACGGTGTGCAGTGAAAACTCCTTTGCGGACAAGCATTCTCATGAATGCCCCAAGTATGGAATATTTTGGTTGAAGAATGATTCAATTTCTGACCAAAAAAAAAAAAAAAAAAAAAAAAAAAAATAATAATAAAAGGAAAAGATCAATTGAAAGTGCTTTGTACAACTGCTGTGTTCTTTAGCGCTCTAAATTCTAAACAAGAAGATTAAGTATAGCCACACATGAATGATTTTCAATTTAATTCAGTTGATTAAATACTAAAATAACAAGAGATAAGGGTATATATACAGAGAGAGTTAATACTTGAGGCTATTTGGGACAAAGAGATTGAGCCACCATTGGAATGTATAATATCGGCTAAGCGAAGCTCCACAGCAGACTTCAAAGCCATAGAGTCTGCAAAGCCAAGCATGTATTGCCATACTTCTGCTTGGCCTTTTAATAATGCCTCAACTTCTAATGATCCCATTTTCTCTCTTCGATTTCTCTGATATGTTTGCAAGCCAATGAGTTTGGTTTGACCTAAAGGAGTTGGATGATGATGTTAATTTATAGCCAAAGCTCTGCGGTAGTCGAGCAACTTGTGATAGCTTTGTGGGGCAAGGGGATCGATCCCGTGATTTTTTAAGCTGAATCTATCTTTATATGAATGTGAATATCATAATAAATTTAATTAGGTAACCTTTCAAAATTAAGGGGAAAAGAATTGAATTTTGTCTGTACTATGTTAATTACACAACTCCAAGGTTTGCTTATATGATCGTTTGTTGAAGAAAAATCATTTAGGTTGCATTTGGTTAGGGTTATGGAAAGATAACTCCGATATTTTATCTTTGATTTCGAACATTCCCTTGTTTGGTTGCAAAATAATAAAAAATTTCGATAATCTTTCAATACCAGTAGTGATTACTATTAGTGGTAATTAGATTACCAACTCAAGGGGTGTTATTTTTTTATTAGCGGGGTAATATAATTTTTGTACCAATTTTACCCTCAGTTAATAAACATTTTGGATACAAATGCCCTCATATGTCTACCAAATAACAATTTGCCGAAATGTATGAAATGACTTCTATAACCTCATAAATTTTTTTAGACATAAATGCCCCTCACTATTTACGTGAATACCACCCAAAATAAGTCAACCCTAGCAGATGACTGCCAGCTGTTGACAGTCGTCGGAACAGTGCATGACCGACCAAATCTAGCTATTAACGGCCAAATGCACAACTGTTAATGACCATAGATCTGGCTATTAATGGCCATGGATATGGCCAGAAGAATAGAGTTGGTCGTTTTCGGCCAAATCCATGGCTGTCTAGCCAATTTCTGCTTTTGATCTGATCAAAAACAGCCAGGTCGGTGCACGGTCGGCCAGATCAGACCGGCCATGCACCGTTCCAATGAATGTTGACTACGGCCAATGGTGGTGGCCGACGGTCGGTAGTCATCTTCGGGATGGGGGTATTTTGTTAAATTTTAAATTTTATCTGGGTGTTGTAGCTAAATTCTAAAATGTAAGGGCTTAAAAATGATACTCTAAATAATAATAATATTATTAAACAGGAAGGGCAATTTAGTAAAAGGCTTCTCCATAATTCTTTTATTCCTCCCATCCTAACATATTAATTATTTATACCCACCAATTTAGCCAAACATATTAATATAACATTCCTTATTAATCTTTAAGGTAATATATATCACTGATAATCCTATATTTTTAGTAATAAAATATTGTTGGAACCAAAAGTAGCCTTAGGAGTATATATATTTTATTATTTTAATTTGAAATATTAATTGGTCTTTTTATATCATTCACTTAAATAATACACTTAATATCACTCACTTAAGTGATCATATTATTTGTTGATGTGTGATTTTGACACCAATGACCTCACACGTGTAAAATGCTAAGAAAGTCTTATAAATTACACATGAATGATTATAAGAGTTGATTATGATGCATAAATTATATATGTTTGCAGATGCATAAATTATATATGTTAAGATTTTTATAATGGTTCAGATGCTTAAAGCGAATCCTACATCTACTCTTATTTTATTATTCTCTGACTATTTTTCTGATATTGTCTGTAAGACGTATAAAAATAGAGAAATGTTTTGTTTACAGAGAAAAACTAATGGTTGAAGTTCTCATTTGTGCCCAACTCTAATATGCCTAGCCTCCTCTTTCGTGAAGAGAGGTGCTCATTTATACTTTTGAGGTCAATGTAATAATTGATTTTGCAAGTTACCTTGACACGTGAGGACCACTCGTTAATTCTTATCTTAAAATGAGATAGGATTGATATAAATATCTCTTTGAGGCGATTGTATTTTGATGACTAATATAACTTTGTCTTTGAGTGCTTGTTAAAATCTAATTGGTGTGTTTGACATTGGTGTGTATTTTTGGCACAACATTATTATTATTATTATTGTTTGTTGTTGTTGTTAAAGAATTAGAATGAAAACAATCATCAGGAATACATTTATAGTTTATGGAAATAATTATTGGAAATTATAACAAAATAGATATTATAAAGGACGGCATCTATTACCTTGTTTTTATTTTATATAATTAGAGATGATAGCTTTTGATTATAACAATTCAACAGCACACTTTAATGCCATTGAATCTGCAAAACTAAACGTCTGTTGCCATATTTCTACTTGCCCTCTCAAAGAATCCATTAGCTGTCATTTAGGAAATTACGGAACTTTCTTTATATCTTCAAATTAACCATGTGATGGAATTTATTTTAGAGCAAATGACATGTTCCCACCCAAGGTAAAGTGAAATGCCAAGTTCCCACCTCTGGTTTTATATATTCCTTAGAGTCACGAAGAGTGGGATGAATTCCCGGCTGTATTTCCAGTAAGATGGGGTCGTGACAAGAGAGCCCAAGGTTTTGAGTGCAAACTCATCATTTAACTCTTTAACCAAATGAGTGATATAGACTGAATCTGATCCGTAGAAAGAATATTCCACATAAACCAATACATATATAAACCAGATTCCAACTTAAGGATAAAAGACTAGAATCAGAAACTGAATTTCTGAACCCCTTGGCTTGAAGAGCAGTTTTAAGCTTGTCAAACCAGGCTCTAGGAACCTGTTTAAGTCCATACAAAACTTTATTCAATTTACACACAAAAGAAGGATGAGTAGCTAACTCAAAACCCATTGGTTGCTTCATGTAAACTGTCTCATTCAAGGTGACATTCAGAAACACTTATTCATATTAATTTTGTTGCATATCCCAAGAGTTTGTAACAGCTAAGATTATGATAATTCTAATGGTAAAGGTTTATGACTGGCTAAAAGCTTTAAAGTAGTTCAAGTCCGGTTTTTGTTGAAAACCCTTAGCCGCTAACCTAGTTTTATACTTTTGCAGGACGAAAGACCAAACCAACCTATTCGCAGACTCGGAGACCCCCGATCTTTAAATAAAAGAAAAAAAACCTATTCGCAGGCCTGGGTGGTGCCACTCTGGTCAAGCAAAAATTTTCAAAATTTACGTATAAATAGACGAATTTATGCGGAGTCCAACAGAACTCTTCAATTGTACAACTACTGAAAACTGGTACAATGCATGCATGATAACAATGTAAAATTGGGCCCAAGTTTTCCTTTCATTATAATTCATATGTCTTTTACACAAATAGTACTGTTTACAAAAATGCATTTTAAAAGACAAACAGGGGAATAGTGTAGCTATTCCTCTTCGCTTGCCGACGCCCCTCCCTGCTTCATCACCTAGATCCTGCATCCACAAAGGAAAATACACGGGTGAGCACAAATAATGCTCAGTAAGTAAACCTCTCTATCTGTCTGTCCCCGTAAGAATAACTCTTAATTCTTTCCTTATACTATTTCTGATTCTACTCTGTTTCTACTAAACATCATGGCCTCATCTAACCGGAGGTACGCCGGATGGCGTTCACACAGCACCATCTCGCTCTCTATGGCTATCGGTGGAATTCATAAAGTACCAACCCGTTCTTCTTAGTGACTACCGAGTGAGGATCCAAAGCACCAACTCGATTCTTCCTAACTATCGGGTGGAGATCACCTAGCACCTACCCGTTCCTCATGAATTTTGGGTAACATTCACCAAGCATTTACCCGTCTCTAGTCACTATCGGGTGATGATCACAAAGCATCGACCCGCTTCTACTAAATGTTGGATGATGGTCACAAAGCATCACCCCACTTATCTAACAACTAACCGGTAGTGGTCACAAGCATCTACCCATTTCTACTACTCATCGGGTGACGATCCAAAGCATCGACCCATCTCTAAGGGCTATTCGGTAGTGATCACAAAGCATCAACCCGATTCCCATGGCTATCGGGTGATGATCACAAAGCATCAACCCATCTATTCTACTCTTCTAATTCACTCTATTCTAGCATTTTTCAATGCTCTCTACCCTTAGAGTAGTTATACCCACCAAGCTCTCTACTACTAGGGTAATTGCATACACAATTTTCTTACACTTTCTTAGGTCACTTTTCATTGCACCATTAGTGCCTATGGATGGTTCATCTCCACTAATGCACTTATGAAATGCCACATGCAATGTTGCAAGAATTAAGGTTCACGACTCACACTCAAACCTCTATTAGGCATTTCATCAAACAACTCATGTGCACTATAAAACTCTATTATAGCAATGATTCTAAAACTTTTTCTCACCATCCAAAATGGGGAAAAACCCCTTCACAAGTCATAAAACCTGTCAAAGAAACACTTCCAAAAAGGGTTCCATAACACCCCTTCAATTCCCATCTCAACTACCTTGCCACCCCAACATTTCATTTCTCATATTTGCAAGGTGTAAACATTCACAAAGCATAGAAATCTCTATTTAAGCCTTCACACATGGCATTTACATGTACATCACATACATACATCATTTCTATCAAAACCCTAATCAAGAGAATTCATAAATCTCAACTTGGGTTGGGTTTTACTTACCTTGTTTATGGAAGACTTCACAAATTCTTCCTTTCACTTGTTTAGCTTGACTTTTCCTCTAATCTTAACCAAAAGAATGAAACCCTCAAACTTCAATATGGGTTAAAACTCCCAAATCACACAACTTAGAGAGATTCTTACCTTAGGAAGCCTTAGGTTGCTTTTCTACCTCAAATCACTTCAAAACCCCTTGGAATTCCTTGATCAAAGAGAGAGAAGTTGAGAGGAAGAATAATGAAGTGTTGCGTTTGAGAAGAAGAAATGAGGGGTTTGTTAATTCTAATTCCTTTTAATGAAATATAAACACAATCATTCCCATTTTGCCCTTACTCTTCTTTGGGAATTCCATCTATATCCTTTGATTCATTACAAACTCACCCCCATATCAACATATTCTCCATGAAAAATCCTTACAATTAACTCCCCACTTTTCCTGCTATTAGGGTAGAATGGTCAAATTGCCCTTAGGGAGAAAATATCTAAAACTTGAGCAACATTTTAATCGGCCTGTCGCCGCG